GATGAATGGAAAGAAAAGCAAATATTGTATGTTATTCTTCCATACTCTTTCATGACGAGGTCAATTCCAGTATGCTTATTTTCATGCGGTTAATGGTTGAACGCTGAACATCATTTCCGTGTCATCAAACAGTATGTGACAAGCATAGTCTGCATTCTCTTGTTTCTGTCGTACTCTTTTATCAGAGTGGCACTGATATATCAGCCTCGGAAAGAAGAAAGGTGAGTGAGTCTGTCCAGGACTCGATCTCAGCTCATCTCAGTTCTGAGTCTGACATCCTGTCGACCGAGTAACCCTGGTGCGAAGCAATGTATGGCGAGTTTCTTGCTTGAGGGAATTCGTGGTAAAGACTAAGATTGCCCGCTGTGTTAATCGAACTCGGCATTTCCTGAGTTCGAATTCGAAGCCGATCTTGTGCACACTGTGCTATGCTACTCAGCCAGTCCCAGCAGTGGAAAACAGCAATCCAGTGTTACACTTGAGCCAGCTAAACCAGCGATGGTGACTGTCGTTTCGCTTTAACCCTTGGCATTTGACTGAATTTTTGATGTAAGATACTAGGGGCATACGAGTCGAAGTTGGTATTAGAAAAATCAATAGTTCAACTAACTGAAGTAAATCATTTACGGCTAAACACTGAGTGATTTCGTGAAGCAAATCGATGTTCAGTGCGTCTTCCATGTGCGATGCTCAGTTATCGTTCAGGTTGGTTATGATAGACCTGCAACCTTTTAGTTCTGCCACCAGTTGGGCGTAATTCACAGTTAATCCTTCCAAAATAACGAATGATTCATCAAATATCTGATCTGACGGCGTGCTGTCCACTCCTGGTTGCTTAGGAAGCTATATAAGCTACGAATTACTGTTAGATGAGCATGAAGTGGTCTTAGCGAACAAACTGACGCGAAATGCATCTGGTAATACAGGCGCTCGAATACTGTTGAGCTGCAACCTGCTCATATGGCCCCTATTCAATATGAGCAAGCGGGTGATGCAATACGCCATGAAATCTGGCCTTGGAGGAGGCATTCACTGTTTGACGTAATCCGTGCTACGAACAACGTGCGTTGTTAACGCTTCCTAAACATAGCTCTGTTTCGAAACAGCTGGTACGCTGTTCACAAAACAAGATTGACTATTTACTGTCGCTGGTACTTATTAATGGTTTGTTAATCATTATTCAGTGCTTGAATCCAGAATAAGAATCTTCAGTCAGGACCCACAGATGCAGTTGTTTTAAACAGTGAATGCAGTCGCGGTTTGTTGCAAGAATTCTGTCAACTAACTGTTTTACTACCTAAACAATATAAAGATTCAAATATTCGTTGATAATCAGAAAGGAAAGATGCTGTTTATCTCCGCTACCCACCCCCGAACTGCAGAAGCAAACGCCTGCGCATTGACGAAGCAAAACCGTCAGTGCATGCAGAGCCAGTTGCACTGACCACCACTTAAAGTTTAGGTCTGCTGTTAACACCGTTTGGATCGATCATCACTAGAAATAAATCAACGGCAGTGGGTGACTGGCCAAAAAAAGGCTGTTTTCTGTACGACTTCTGTTTCTTCGAAATTCACTCATATTTGAAAGCCGATATACGTTTATTAATTAAAGCCTGCTTCACGGTTGTCAGCAGGTACTGGTCATCATCGAGCAAGTGATTAAAATCGAACGAAATGTAAGGAACTTTACTCGTCGGCTGATCTCGGCACTGGGCGTTCTTACTTGAGAGTGTTCTCTGATGACCGTCAAATCTCCAATCATACTGTAGTTTCTGGGCATGCCTCGCCGTATTCTCTTGCCATCGCCAGAATCGTTGCTGCCTCCTACAACCTCTAGATTTATCGAAGCGGCATTCATACTACGGATTTATACTCGAGTTACATTAATTTCTTCATCAGTCCTCTGCTGTGTTTTTTCTTTTTCCGTTAAATGGTATGCTTTTGTGAAGCATTTGTAGTGTCTCTTGTGCTGATTCATTCCTTCCCTAATAATATCTTTCTGACGATTATTTTAGTAGTTACTTGTAAGGATCAGGAGCGCTTATTTAGTAGACAGGTGGAGTTCCAGTTGAAGGATCATAGGTTATAATCTTGGTTCAGTCGGTAGTCTTCTTTCATCCTTT